ATGGCAAAATAAAAATGCAGAAAAGTGAAGGTTTTTAGAAACGCAAAATTGATTGTAGAGCGATTCATAGATCTTCCTTTTTTTTTTTGAATACATGGGTTGCCTCCCAAGAAGCGCTTTCTTTAACGTCTTGCAGCCGGACGATACTTCCTTCTAAACTTGGATAGGGCCCATAGCATGGAATTGATCCTTGAATGGACGGTGATACTTGACGTGATCCGGCAATGGTTTAAATTCTAGTGTAGGTGCCTGAATCATCAAAATCAATAAGTTAGTATATACTAAAATCGAAATTGGAGAAGATGGCTTACTTGCTTTGTCCGACAAGAACTCAATGACAAACACCACATTTTTGAAAGTTTCAGGGATATTGGACTTGGCCAGATTGAATGTGATGGTTGGACTTGTCCCATGTCATAAAATTCAACTTCTTTAGGAATGGTTGTCTCAAGCACATCCTCTTTGATGCATTCTAGACATTCCCCATCCACTTCTTTCTCTTGATTCTTTGGAAAGGTTTCAAAGATGCCTTTCTCACCCTTTTCTTCCTTGGATTGCATGATCCTGCAAGGAATAAAGACATTTAGTGGAACGGGGTCAGGACGAATTGAATTTGGGTTTACCTTGGTTGTAGTGGACTGCATAGAGGGCATATGGGGCTGCGGCAAGGGTGTTGGGGCTAGGGTAGGCTGCAGCAATGGTGGTTCTTCCTTTGTCGTGGCCTTGTTATCCTCCTCTTCTTCGAGCAGTAACTGTTCATCCATGTTTTGGCTTGGTTTGGACATCTTGGGTTCATCTCCAACCTCTATGCCACTTTCCAAGTTGATAGCTTCAATAATTTCAACAGTTGAGTCAGTTACTTCACTTTGTTCTTGCATTTGCCCCATGAATTCCGCGATCTCTCCCATTTGATTCTTCAATTCGCTCATCACTTGGGCTTGATTTTGTGATTCCTGCGTCAAAGAAGTTAGTACATCAAGAATTTGAGCACAATCTATTGACGAACCTGAATTTGATTGGAATTGTTTGCAGGGCAGGTTGTGGTGGCTGCATAGGCGTTGTATTAGAACTCCTCATATGGCTGCCAATACTCTCCTTGTTGAGCCTCCTTGGCTTGATTTTGTGAGCCCTGCGCCAAAGAATTTAATTCATTAAGAATTTGTTCATAATTTATTGACGAACCTGAGTTTGGTTGGGTATATTGTGTATGAGGTTGTGGTGGCTGAGCAGGGCTTGAATAGAACTCATTATATGGCTGCCAATATCCTTCGTGTTGAACTGGTTGAGGTCTCACCACATAGTGTTTGAATGATCCCTCCAATCTGAATTATACGTGTTGGAAAACAAGTTGTTCATTGATTGATTATGATCATGATAACTCTCCCAACTCCTTTGTGGATGTTGATCTGCTTGATATCCTTGCGTATAGGACACATCGAATGTAGGGGTGCTTTGTATTGTGGTCCTTTCGATGTACTGTGACAATTAAGAAGTAAGAATTGCCATTTGAGCTTGAAGATTAGCAATTGCCATGTCTTACTTCTTTTAGTACCTGATATCAAAGAAATAAAACTAAATCAAATATCATAAGTAAACAAAACAGGGTAATTATAAAAAATAAAAAAAATAAAATAAAAAAATAAATAAAATAAATAAAAAAAATAAAATAAAAAATAAAAATAAAAATAAAAATAAAAAAATAAAAAAAACTAAACAATTTAAACAAGACTCAAGACAAGGGATTAGCAACTTTGCTAATCCCCGGCAACGGCGCCAAAATTTGATGCGTAAAATAACTAAGCACACAAATTAAACCCTCTTTTTGACAATTGTAGTATGGATGTAAGTAGGGTATCGTTCTAGGCCGGGGATTAGGAGGGATTGCTAATCTATTCTAAATTAATTTAAAAATATTAAATAAGACTCAAGGAACAAAACTAGGCTAAAAACTCTAATAACTCGAAACACACTTAGGATAACTCAAAATAATGAAAACAATCAAATTAGACACTAGGAACTGCAATGGACGGAAATTGAATTAAAAGACTAAAAACAATGAAAACTAACTAAATAATATAATTTAATAATGAGGGGTTTGGTTTTGACGAGAAGTAAATTAAACTTAAATAAATTACAAAATTGACAAAAACATGAAATTAAGGTGAAATGATAGGTGATGGATTAGCTAGAGGGTTCTTCTCTACACATGACACATATGCAACCTAAATTGATTTTCAGTTGTTCTTTCAATAAGTTGTGAATCTCAACACTTCAGATTAACCGTGAACAGCACTTTTTTAATCTTCAAGTTTTCCTTAAGTTATTGAATTGGACGGGAAAACGCATACAACAATTCAAAACATTATTCAAAAGTCCCCTACGTGAAAAGCACAATAGAGATACAATCAAAGATCTTTAAACTTTGTGAAAACTATAAGCATTGACGAGGCATTCGTAACTATGAAAAGCATGATACTCTTGCCAAGAATTCACTTAACACGATTGTGGATAACAACCTTCACTACTTGTGAATATAAGTTCATAACGATTAGGTGAAATTCACTTATATTCTAGCATCAAATTCATGCATGTAAATTAAGTATGCATCCTTAATCGACATACAAAAATAAGTTATCAATCAAGCAGTTAAGCAAATTAAATCACAACTGAAGGTAATCAATTCATATTACAAATATATTCATGGTTTCGAATTAACCTCTAGCCAAAATAAAATTTAGTTACACATTATTATCAAATTAAACCAAAAGTAAAACATGGGTTTGAGAAGATAAAACCAAGAAAAGAAGATCTGCTGTGTCCGTGCCTCTGTGATCTGCTTCCAATCCGTGCGCACTGCTCTCTGACCTCTCTCTCCTGCTCTGCCCACTGTCTATCTCTCCGTGCCTTCTCTCCTGCTTTGCCCGCTATCTCCCTGTCAGTTCTTCCTTTCTCTCTTGTCTCTCACTTCTAACCTGCTGACCTCTCTCCACGTTTCCCCCTTTTTCCCGTGTCTATCCTTTAGTCTATTATTCTTTTCGTTTCTGGTCCCTGCCTTTGCGTCTTGGATTCCTTCCTTTCCAGCTGCAAAGCAGCTTCCTGTTGTTTTCAGAAGTGAAGAATATGGGAGTCAACGAGGTAAAAAAAAAATATAAATCATGATGCTCTCTTGCTCCCTCTTTGACCGACTCTCCCCATTTCTTTTGTTTATGCCGTGACATAATTCTACCAATAATCCATGACAGAATGAGAACGACTAAAGCAATTTTCGACGAATTTATTATTTAAAACTCATTTGTGCTATTTTTATTTTCTTTGCAAAACAAATCCTATAAACACAAAAATAACGTAAATAACTCAAAAATGTAAGGAACTAACTAAGAAAAGACGAGTGAATTCGAAGTAAAAATATATATAAATATGATCCGATCATCATTGGATTGTCGGAGGGATACTGACAATGCGTAGATCGGTACATACTGTATCCGCTTCAATTGGAAGGATGGAAGGTCTCATCTCATTCGTGTTGTGACACTAAGACAAGTATGTATGTGCTCATTAAGGGAAGGAGTTCACTGAACACAATCGAACGAGAGTACTTGCATGGAGGTCTACTCACATGTCAAGCAAGTAACTTTAATGGTTGGAATAATGTAAGTAGTCCTTTGACCTGAGGCATCGTCGTTGTCTTGTGGTTAAGTACTTGATCTTTGATTATGTCAAAAGTCACTCTAGTAGAATGTCAACGGCATAGTTGGGGTTAAGCCACTTAGTCATGAAGGCAAGTGTATGCGCAACAAGGAATCTCTAATCCTCGATAAGAGAAGAAGAATACTCTAAGATATGATTCGGGAATCTTCGGCCGAAGTATCGAGCGTAATAAAGGAAAGCGTTCCTATACGACTCAATTGAATCATATAAAAAGGAATAAATCACATTAGGGGTTTGACATGATATATCCATACCCTAATGATGTGATTGAGAGTATTGTATTAGAGAATGATTGAATTACATTGTAATTCCAACTGACTAGGTTCTTCGAATAAACTTCTACATTAGTTTGGGTAGCTATGACATATGGTTAGATGTCACTCATAGCTTGTGAGTTCTTCTAGATGATTAAATGTAGTCGTCAAAGAAGAAAGGTGAATTAAAATGAAGTTTTAATTCACTAAGTGATTGAATTAAATATAAGCAATTGGATTGATACCAATCACCTCACTGCCTTGCTAATTAGAACCTAAAAGATTGTTCACCAAAACACTATTGTGGTGAGTAACTAATAGATGATGAAAACAATTAATTGGATTAATTATGTGTTGTGATTAATTTAGAAAAGTCTAAAGAAATCATAAAAGCGATAAAGACGTTTTGGGCTTAAAGAAACGTTCGGGTTTAATTAGGCTCATTGGGCCTAAACCCATTGGGCTTTTATTCAAGCATTGGATGACTTGAAATAATAAAAGCCCAAAGCCCAAAAACAACACAAAAGGGCCGGCCACTTTAGGTGAAGAAAGGTGAGATATTTAGTCAAGTTGTTGACTAGGTTTCTTTTGTCTATATAAAGAACTTTATAGAGATAAAGTTCATTAGGGTTTTTGTGTGTTAAAACAACAAAGAGGCAAAAGAAAAATAGCTCTCTAACTACACAAGGGCCGGCCACCATAGGAGGTTTTTACTAACATATCTTACACCCCTTTGGTTATTCCTTCATCCTTCTCACTACACTAGTGGGTGAGGATCTTTAGAGGTTTCCTACTTTGGAAACTTGAAGAGAACCTAGGAGAACTCATTCTAACAAAGTGGAGGAGGCAAGGAGGGAAGCTAGCCTCAAGGATTTCAAGGAGCAAAGGGCTTGGAGGTGGTCCATCCTTGGTCTCAAGTCTAGATCAAGAGGTATAAGACTAACCTTCACTTTGTTCTTGATTCTTTAAATTGTTTTGATGCATTATATATAAACTTATGAACCTTGAAGGGGATTTGCATGACTATAGCTTTGATAATATGTTATAAATGCTTCCGCTGCTTTCGTATTAAATTTGATTTGAATATGCATGATAGTCATTTTGAAATCTCATGCTAGAATCTCATAGATTTCCCTTCAATTTGGAGGCCGGACATCTGTATGGCTTGTACAAGTTCTTGCACCCTCCCGACACATGTCTTCATCTCCTCGCCCTGGGCCCTCAGCTGCGCCTTCATCTGCTCGCCCTCGACCCTCAGGTGCGTCACTTCCGCCTTCAATGCATCGACCTCTGCTGTGTTCGACATCTATGGTTCTTCAATGCATCGACCTCTGATGTGCAAACAAAAAAGAAATAACATGAATATAAAAATAATAATAAAATAAAACTGAAAGAGAGAACAACATTTAGAATTTAGTGCCTGGGGAAAGTAAACAGCTATAGTTCTTCAACATCTATGGTTAGATGGAATGCTTTGATTGCACACATTTTAAGCAAAAATCGGTGATTCTCGGCGAGGCCACGAGTTCCGTCATGCCCCACAGGATGAAGCAGACCTGTTACATTGTGTTCAACAATCTCTTTTGTGCCTCCGGCTTCGGTTCCAAGCACCTGATCAAAGCAAATACATAAGAATTATATTTAATCAAACGATCGAGATCAGTATTAGTAATGCCATTTTGCTTCAAAAGAGGCTTTATCTTTTATAATTGTTTCTGTTGTTTTCGAGGAGAAACCGGAACAAGGCATACAACGCTAAAAAACACCATTTTGTTTTCACGATGCAAAAAAGAACGGCTACTATCCCTAGCCGAAAAAGAAAGATTATGCCATAAAGCAGTCATATAGTAGCATGCCTTTGCATATTTGAGGTTCGATTAGGGAGACTAAATGTTAGCTGCAGTATAAAAAAAACTATCATCCAAGTGGGATGAGGAATAAAATGTCATACCGGAAGACCGAATGCCATGGCTTCAATTGTCACTCTCCCAAAAGTTTCTCCCAGTCCTTGTGCACCATTTGACAAACTGTGTTAATTCGAAATGATATAGAATAATTGATCAAATGCATACAAGCATAAATCAAGATTATATATTCAACTGAAATGAGAAATGGGTTACAAACACAATAAATTGGAACCGCTACATACATATATGAACAGAACAGTAACATTTGGTGGTATGCCTAGTTCATACATCACCAATGGAATTCATGAATACATATTTGACTATTTGACATGACTATCATCAGACACTTCTTACGACACTGTAAAGCATCCAGCTTCAGCCACAATCCTCTTTTCATAAACTTCATATAAAAAAGAAAAACCATGTGCTATTCTTATAAGCATGAATGCAGCAGAGTTCTTAAACCCACAAGGTTTTTTAACTTAATCAGATTGAACTTCTTAACCATAAAGTGAAACCTATTGTGTTTAGTAACTGCCATTTTGAAATGGAAGTAAGATGATCCAAAACTAATTAATCTCAAAGGTAAGAGATCATGGAGATAAGGAAAAATGAAAAGTGACGAAACTATGTTACCTCAAACAGAAAGAGGATGACTCAACTGTTTCTCTTCCCTCTTCTTCCGCTATAGCACCGCTATTTTCTTACTTTAATGATACTCAAGCAGCAACTCAACTACATAAAATATTAAGCTAAATTAGCAGAATATAATAATCCGCATTTGGGGATTTTGCTTTAAGCCATACAGTACAAAAAATTATGCTAAAAGTACAAAACAATGAACCACCAGGTAAATCAGAAAGCAAAAAACCCACATCCGAAAGTACCCAGAAGCTAAAATGATAGAAAGAAGGAGAAGGGTAGCAGTAGCAGCAGCAACTCAATCGTCGCCGCCCAAATGCCAGACCCTCTTTGCCTTCTCTCTTTACACACGAACTCTCTGTCTTGGGTGGAGAATTAAATCGAGAAACCCATCTGCCAAATTAAAGGAGGAGAGAGCAAGGGATTGACTCTTTGGATTCGAGAACATATATACCGAGAAAACTTTGAAAGATAGAGAGATAAACCACAAAAATCAAACATGAGAATCAAATGGCTTACCAACTGGGTAGGTTTTTAATTTCTTATGCAGTTATATGAGTAATCAATATCTGAGTTGTGCATTCAATTGCTCACCTCCACTCGCATTCTTGTCCACCTTTTTTATGCAATTGAACATCAGCGCCGCTAACGACGCAAATATGCCTGCAAAAAAAAATCCCATTTCGCATACACAAATATAAAACCCTAGAAATCTAAAAACATGCAGAAACAAAATTTGGGGTTCGGGTCGGACCTTGAAATATCCAAGAACGATGTGAACTGGCTGAACACAATTCCCTTTGCAGATCCATCCTTTTCAACCATGGATCTGATTTCTTCCCTCTACAGCACAATTAATTACACAATCATTAAATTAAATATACAAATAATGAGATTGAATGTGCGAACCTGAAGAGGACATCGAAATTGACGGCGGCGAGAGCTTGGCCGAGATGGAGGTGTGTGAAATTTTTTTGGATGAAGGCAGAAATAGAGAGAAATCGAGAGATGGTGTTGGGAATGAGAGACAGAGAGTTTGAGAGAGTGATTGAAGACCGAGAGAGAGGAGGCTCAAGGCTCAGGGCTCAGGGGTCAGGCTACTACGCGAGATGTGAGAGACCGAGTGAGACCAAATTTGGGAAAATAAAAAAAAAGCGCCTAATTTTTACAAAACTACCGCCAAATTTTTAACACATTGCGCGACGCATGTATACCTTAGGACGTCGCGCAAAGTGATTTTGCGCAACGATCCCATTTAGACGTCGTGCAAGTTATATATATATTTTTTTAAAATTATTATAAAATTTTATAAAATTAATTTCAACGATCCAACCATCAAACTTATTTGTATATGCTTCAAGATTGCATACACTAAAAATCGCAAAAAAAAAAAAAACATTCAGAGCTCAAGTAACGGGACAAAACATTTCGACGGTTATAAACGAAAAATCACGATTTAACGATTATTTTAACTCCGAATTTGATGATTTTTTACAGTTACACTCCTTAACCCTATGTGAATACAATGAATGAACTCGATCGTCAATTTAAAATATTTACACTAGTGGATACCACGAAATCTTATGTTATGCTTAATGAAAGTATAAATAAACTCTTAAATGTTAGTAAATCTATTGTTTTGATGGGGTACGCATTCTACAAAACTAATTTCAACGATCCAACCGTCAAACTTATTTGTATATGCTTCGAGATCGCATACACCAAAAATCGCAAAAAAAAAAAACATTCAGATATGAAGTAACGAGACAAACATTTTCGACGGCTATAAATGAAAAATCATGATTTAACGGTTATTTTAACTCCGATATTGATAATTTTTTATAGCTACACTCCTTGATCCTATATGAATACAATAAACTAATTCGATCGTCAATTTACAATATTTACACAAGTGGATACCACAAAATCTTATGTTATACTTAATGAAAGTATAAATAAACTTCAAGTGTTAGTGAATCTATTGTTTTGAAGGGATATGCATTGTACAAAACTAGTTTCAACGATCCAACCATCAAACTTGTTTGTATATGCTTCGAGATCGCATACGCCAAAAATAAAAAAAAACAAACATTCAAAGATCAAGTACGGGATAAAACTTTTTTACGGTTATAAGCGAAAAATCATGATTTAACGGTTATTTTAACTCTGATTTTGATGATTTTTTTACAACTACACTCTTTAACCCTATATGAATACAATGAACTAATTCGATCATCAATTTAAAACATTTACACAAGTGGATACCACAAAAGAAAAAATGCAATGCAAGAACCCAAAAAAAAAAAAAAGACTTTGAAGGGATACGCATTGTACAAAATTAATAAATGAAAATGTACTTAGTAAAAAAAAAAAAAAAAATGCAATGCAAGAACCCAAAGTCTTTTTTTTTTTACCGTTTTGCTTATGAGTACAAAATAAAAAAAAGACTTTGCGATTTTTGATGATTGGATCGTTGAAACTAATTTCGTACAATGCGTTTTCCATCAAATTCAATGGTATATGTATTTACTAAGTAGAATTTAATTTATTTATTTTGTACCCATAAGCAAAAGGGCAAAAAAAAAAAGGGACTTTGTGCGACGCAGGTACACTTGCGTCGCGCAAAGCTGTTTTGCGCGATGCAAGTGCACATGCGTCGCGCAAAGTTGGCAAAAAGCGGTAAAGTATTCTTTGTTTGGCGCTAAGATCTTGCGCAACGCACAAAACGTCCCGCAAACAGCCTTTGCGCGACAGTACTTTATGCGACATAGGCTGGCGTTGCGCAAAACATCTTTGCGCGACGCAGAAACTTCAGCGTCGTGCAAAGCTGTTTTGCACAACGCCAACCTACGTTGCGCAAAGTGTTGTCGCGCAAAGGGTGTTTGCGCGACATTTTGTGTTTTTGGTCGCGCAAACATACTTTGCGCGACGAAATTTGCTCCGTCGCGCAAGATTCTGTCGCGCAAACATATTTTTCTACTAGTGCACTAACAAACGCACCTAAGCACATAAAAGGACCAATTAATAAACGATTGAATATGGGAAAACAGACATCGTATTCAAATTCGGGATGTTGAAAAACCTAAGGAGGGACCTCGGACTCCTCCACGCGCCGCCACGCATCGAAAAACCCTTTTTCCCCTTTTCCTCTTGAACATAGCCTAGCGATCTCCATGGCAAGGATGGTGTTATCGGAGATGAAACGGTTCAGCACAAAAGCACTCTGGGAGATGATAAAGGGGATGATCCTCTTGAGCCGATTTACCAGAACCTTGAAAGCAATTTTATAAAGAACATTGCCGAGGCTGGTAGGGTGAATTTGAGACATCTCAGTAGGTTTGTTTTGCTTCGTGACAAGGGTGACATGAGTAAAAAAAAAATTTGTAGAATCCTCCCAGATTCAAGGAAGGAAATAACAGCCTCGGTAACAAATAGTCTGGTTCTTAGCTCTTGTCTTTTTTCTGTGCTCGCATCTTATTTTTGACCAAACATATTTTAACAACAATTAACATTATATGTCGAGCCCCTACATTCAATGATCAAGATGCTGCCATTTGTCAGTAGATTAGGTGGTAAAAGTATTTAAGTTAGTTGTGTATGTTGAGAGAAAGATTGCTAACCCTAAACTCTAAACCCTAAACAGAGAAAATATACAAGAAGCATTTCACATTTCTCTCTCTCTATCTAACTTCTCTCTCTACATTCTGCTATCTCATTACCTCCACTGATAACCTTGAAGCTCAGATCTCTGCATTCTCACATGGTATCCTCGCCGGCGATGGGGAATTCTCGTCGATCGTGATCTTTTTGGCTTCCGCGATCATCATTTGAGGGACACTTTAGTCTGTAATTTTATATAATGATCCAAACCATCTACATTTTAATACATCATTCAATATCATTCTTGCAAAAAAATCACATATCATTCTTACAAAATATTAGACAAAAAAAAAAATTAAGACATTCAATTGGTGAAGAAATAGACAAATAGGGCTTTTCAAGAAACACTATTATGACTACTCTTTAATCCAATGGTCAAAAAGTTTCATATTTGAGTGATTTTAGGTAGAGAAGACCTAAAACATAACAATTAGATTGTTAAAATACGACGTGTAATCAGCCCTGCAAAAATTTCTAAAAGCTTATCTAAGGAATCCTACAAGCCTTCCTATTTTCTACAATTTACGTAGAAAGTAAGGCTTATTTGCCTTAATTAAGACCCAATAGCATGCCAATTACTCTTGTGGCTAACCAACAACCATTCAGACCTGAAGATAAATACTTGTGATCACACACACAGAGTACTACTACTAACCGGTTGCCACTCTTGCGAAAACAAAAAAGTATAAGCTGAGAGTAGTAAAAACAAAACTGAAATGAGCCGAGAGACTAGTTTACAACGATGTGTAGGCTATAACATGTGTACAATACTGAGAATGCATTAGCATCCATATTGTCCCCAACTTAAACACCTAAGTCCAATACTCTGGGTTGGACGGCCCTCGTGATAGAACCATCTTCAACCTTCACCCTAATGCTAGTTAATCATGAATACGTAATCTTTATTGTAATAGATAACTGATTGTACAAGCATACAGAAATACGTACATAGTGCTTAGTGTGGAGTAAGCCAAGACAAATAAGAGCATAAACTAAACAAATTATTCCCTAATTCTTCTATATAATTATAAAATGCTTCTTCTTCTTGAACTCAGATATATGAGTCTCTAATTGTCTTCATTTTGTTGACAACAACGTTCATAAGCATCCGATCTCCTGGGGTTGTTGCAGAGCATGCAAGTCCTAACTGCATCACTGAAACCAAACATTCCTCCAATCGTCTTCCTTGAACTGGGTTTTGCTCAAGATATCTTGTAAATGGTCTTTCTTGTGCGTCATTGCCGCATCTGTCATCGTCATCTTTGCCTTCAATGAGCAATAAAGGATCAATTATGTCCAAGACATGGTCATGCATTGACATCGCTGTGAATTGGTGAATGCTTAGACCATCTTTGAACATGTCATCTATAGGCCTTTTTCCCGTGAACATTTCTAGCAACAATATTCCAAAACTATAAACATCTCCTAGTGTAGAGACTTGGCCTCCCGTGCCGTTCTCTGTCATTCAATACTCACATATCAGGGTAAAGAGGCAATTATCTTCCAAAGTCTGCTGCTACATGCTTAACAGGGCATAATAACAATTCCATAGGAAGAGATAATATAAGAATTACATATAAACTCATACCTGGAGGAATGTAACCTATTGAACCCTTTAACCCGGTTGACATGGTTTGACTTTGAGAGGGATCATCAGATGCCTTCAAGAGGAACCTTGCTAAACCAAAGTCACCAACATGAGCCACCTTTAGATTACATTCAACAATCGGCGTATCACAATGGTGGTGGAGGTAATCCAATGCAGAAGCAACATCAATTGCAATATTGAGTCTTTGGACAAGGCTCAATCTCTTCATTTCAGAGTTCTCATCATCTATTGGGTGCAACCTCGCATCCAGACTTCCATTTTCCATGTACTCGAAAACTAAACTTTTGAAGTCATTACCTTGATTATCAATGCTTGAGCAGAAAGTTACGATCTTGAGAAGATTACGGTGCCTTATACTTCTTAAAGCATTACATTCACAGATGAAACTATTGAAAGCTCCTTCTTGTTGAAGGTTCAATACCTTAACTGCAACTACAGTTCCATCGCTAGGGATTATGCCTTTGTAAACCGAACCAAAACTTCCCGTGCCAATAAGATTGGCCATGGAGAACCCATTAGTTGATTCAACAAGCTTCGAGTAAGAAACACCCAATTTCCAATCCTTATGAGAAGACAAAGTTACAAGTTTGCGTCTTGAATGAGCAACAATGAAGCACGATAGCACAATTACGAGTGCAAGTGCACAAGTTATAGGAATGACTTCTTTAAGTAGTCCATGAGATGAATGAGGCTTTTTGTTGGAGCATGCAGGTAGAAGTAATTGTGGGATGCCACCACAAACCCTATCAATTCCGAGAATTGAAATTCCACTTGCATCCCTTCTTTAGGCAATTCACCCTCGAAATAATTGTGGGAAAGATTCAGATACTTAAGAAACATAAACTTGCCTAGAAATTCAGGAATCCACCCAGATAAGTTATTATGTGAAATATCTATTTCTTCCATGCCTCGGAGTGCTTTCGGAGATTGGGGAATTCTTCCTTCAAATTCATTGCCTTCCAAATACAAGCGCAGCAAACTAGTGCAACTTCCAAGAGCTACCAAAATTTCACCTGATAGCTTGTTTCTTGATACATCTAGCTCCGCGAGATGTACCAAATCACCCACTTCAGAAGGTAGTGAACCAGTCAAATAATTGTAATACATGATCAAGGATATTGAAAGCGATGAAATCTGAACGAGCTCCTTAGGTATTGTGCCAGTTAAACTGATGAGTCAAAAATTATATTATATATTTCACCCTATTCTTAGTATAATTTGATAATTATTTTGGTAGAATTTTGATACTTTGCTTTATATTTTCAACATAGGACATTCGACTTCCTCTAAAGCAAAACCAGACCAAACGGATGAATTTTGGAGTGATTCAAATTGGAGGACGTTCGTGTGTTCCTTAGCTTGTTCGTGTCAAAATCTCAGCAATTTCTACCAAGCGATTATTTTCTGGAGATTAAATGAAGGAGCAGTGCGCGTTGTTGGAAAGTGACGTTTTTGAGCTTAAACTGCGTTTTTTGGAGCCCAAGATGACTTCGAATGGGTTCGTGGCCTTCTGGAGAAGTGTTCTGAATAGTCAAAGCTTTAAATCCAGCTATTTTGGGCCAGTTTTGGAGCTAATTTGGGTCCAAAACATGGCTGTGCAAGAGTTTGGGCGAATTTGCCAAGCTAATTTAAGATTATGTTTCCTATTTTATTTTAATTTATTTCGTTTCCTAGTCTTATTCTAAGACCTTTTATTAGGAGGATTTTATTTAGAGTAGTATAAATAAGTCTTTTGGCGGACCTAGGGTTTGGGGGGCTTAAGGAGAGAACACATGCAATTTTTGGAAAGAAGATTTTGGGCAAAGCTTAGAGATTTCAAGACTTTTACTTTTAAGGTGTTTTCACTCTGTTTCTATTTCAATAAAGACTTTATGATTTTTATTATGAATATGCGTAACTAATTTTCTTTTGCTAGGGTGAGGCCATGATCCTTAGCAAAAATATGTAATTTCTTCTTAAATTGCTTATGAATTCATGCATGCAAGTTTTGAATTGTTAATCACCAATTTAAACTATTTATTTGTCTTAGTGATTCGCAACCATTAGGATATTTAGAAAAGTAATTTGATGCAATTTTGGCGGAGGGCTATCCCCAAAATTGACTAAGGCTTCTTGTGATTAATATGTGTAATCTCTTAGGATGGACGACAAGTTTTAAGGGTTATATGATTTTTCAAAAGGTTTTCATAAAACTTAATGAGTCTTGCATGCTGACATTCGATCTAGATATCACGGATGGGTTGCATGTTAGATATACCTTCTATGTTGAAGGTTCCAAGTAGGATATACTTTAGGAAAACCTAACATTCAAAATATGCATGTATGGTTCATAAGTAATTAGACGAGCTACATAGGATTGTTGGGGTGACGACGGAACCCTAGTATCTTCTCACTTTAATTTCTAAAAATTGTTTCTTTCTCCTTCTTTAAAATTGCAGTTTTTAAGTAATCTTTTTAATTAAATTCGTTTTTCTTAATTTAGGTCATAAATCACCCTTTTTCAAAATTTTGTTCTAAATAATTAGTTGAGAATTGATTTGCCGTTAATCTATTTAAATTAATCATTGTGAAGAACGACCTTAAGAGGTCGCACTTGGTGCGATGGCAAGTGCCTTCGCCCATGAGCGGTAGGTCTCGGGTTCGAGACTTGGGAGCAGCCTCTCCATAAATGGGGGTAAGGCTAGCCGACATTCACCTCTCCCAGACCCTGCGTAAAGCGGGAGCCTTGTGCACTGGGTACGACCTTCTATTGTGAAGAACGACCTTGCTTGAGCCAACTATACTACGACAATCTTGTTTCTCTTGCAAGTATTTTAAGTGTTTTTAACCCTTTTGCGCAGATGGTAAAAATCCTATCATAAACAATTACTAGAAAGGTTAAGTATCAACAGCTTTTTGCAGTTTCCGAGGCTTGGTGGTATGCTTCCTTCAAACTGATTCCCATCCATGAAAAGCTTTGTCAGTGAAGTAAAGTTACCAACTAAGGACGGGATTGGCCCAGAAAATCTGTTAGAACCCAAATACACTGCCTCTTACTTCCGGAGCTTCCCAATTCCTTCAGGGAAACTACCATCCAATTCATTATATTCTAGTACTAGAAGGATCAAGTTTACAAGATTTCCGATACCATTGGGGATGCTTCCATGTAACAAGTTTTTCCCCAGAGTAAGATATTTTAGATGGGTAGTAAGGTTGGCTATTGATCCTGGTAACTCTCCACCAAAACGATTACCATGAAGACCCAACATCTCCAAACTAGTGCAGTTAGCCAAGAAGCTGAGAAAATTCAAGTCACCAGTTTTCCCACTTCCCAATTTATTTCTGTCAACGTTTAGCCAAACTAAGCTTTGCAAGCTTCCAAGACTTTCAGCAGGTAGTGTCCCGGTGAGACCAAAGGTCGTACCCAGTGCACAAGGCTCTCGCTTTACGCAGGGTCTGGGAGAGGTAAATGTCGGCTAGCCTTACCCCCATTTATGGAGAGGCTGCTCCCAAGTGTGTCCCGGTGAGACCATTTAAAGAAAAATCAAGACTCTGAAGTCTAGAAGCATTGGCCAATGACAAAGGAAATGCTCCAGTAAATTTATTAAGAGAAATGTAAAATTGTTCGAGATTAGGAAGAGTAATCCCGACATTTGGTGGTAGCTCTCCATGCAGCTGGTTCTGAGTAACATCGAAAATGTATATGGAGGAAATATTATATATGGAAGAAGGGACAATACCAGATAGATTATTCAACCCAAGCACGAATTTTCCCAAGCTAGTTAGACGTCCGAACTCGTTGGGTATGCTTCCTTGAAAGTTGTTGGTGTCAAGATAAAGAGTATTCAAAGAAGAAAAATTTCCTATCCAACTTGGGATGGTTCCAGTAAGATTGTTACCATAAACCCATAGATGAGTTAAATTCAACAACGAACTTAGTTGGTCAGGAATCGACCCAATAATCATATTGGAACTAACATCAAGCATCTTTAGTTGTGTGCAATAAGATATATTAGTTGGAATTTTCCCGACAAAGGAATTGTAAGACATGTTGAGATACTGCAGGCTTCGGAGACGCCCCATTTCTTGAAGAATTTCACCACGAAAGTGGTTGTGTCTCAAGTTGATTCCGGTAAGATAAGTAAGATTGCCTATAGAGTGTGGTAAGGAACCTACCAATTCTTGAGCTTCGAGGTCCAAAATCATGACTCTTTTGGTGGAATGATGGCACGTGACACCAATCCAACTGCAAAAATCGACGGAATCATTCCACGAGCTCATGATTCGGAGAGGATCTTTTGTTATCCTTCTCTTCAAGTCGAGCAGGGCCAGGCCGTCAGTTTCATTTCCAAAATCAGTGATCGCCAGACCTGCACTCAAGCACGAAATCAGAACGAGCATATGAAGGAATTTACTCAAAATGGGCCTACCATGACAATGTGAACTCTCCATTGTTCTAAACGCAGAAAGTCGAAATTCGAAAACAATGTGTGATTTGCACGAATGCAGTAGAAAGAAGATATCTTATGAATGATTGCGCGGTCAGAACTATAAGAAGGGCGACCCTAAGCCAACAAGACTCCCGTCTTGCGAGGGTCGGGTGCGACACGAGGACTTCTTAGGAGGTCACCCATCCGAATACTACTCTCACCCAACTAGCTTTAACTTCAGAATTATAATAGAATTCAGTGCATGTGAGTTGGTATGATCGCTTAACTGTGAAGACTGAAAATAGTGAGAATCTGCGGGGCCCTTTAGGCATCATAACACTACGGCATTCCACTAGATGAACATGAGTGAACATGGAAATGGAGGAAATTTGCAATGACGCGTTTAGGACATTAGTAGCCGTAGGTTTTGAGAAACGAGGTAGCAAGGACTAGGACGACCACCGAAAGAGCAACCTACCACGTGTTTGCACCTCTTTGTCCATTTGCATATCTATTTGTGTCCATTTGTCTGTCTATTTGTGATTGAAGTATTTTAATTGTACAAATATCCTAATAACCATCCATTTTCATCTCTACAGTAAAAACAATCAAATTGGCAATTGGTTTCGTTTAATCATCCACATCCATCAACCGAGCGGTTCATAATAAGAATGTAGTTATTATCAAGGTCATATGTACATTAAAGATGACTAAACCATCGCCAATTTTATTAATTTTTTTGCAAAGATAATATTTAAATAATGATAAAGAAAATAACAGCTTTGTTACTACATTTATACGGTTGAAATACATTATAATGCAGTGCACTCTTGCTGATGGGCTCTGGGGCCGAAACTAAAAGAAATAGGGCCAATACAGATTTAGTCGTCCCTTTCATTATTCTTGTGGAAGTTTACTCAACCACGCACCTGGGATTTACCCATGACTCAAGTAGATAGTGCATTGACAACGTATGCCCACCATATTGATAAAATAAAACATACTGTATCGTCATTATAATGGAGGCCATGCGCACAACCTAGGTGCCCATGCGAGCACTATGTAACCTTGTGACATGTTTTCATCTTTTCCAAGTTGATTGCAGCTGCAAGACTTGCAGCTGCAGGTTGAGGTTTGCTATTAAGTTATACTCCATTGATATCAGCAACAGGGGAGAGAGCCTGCTGCTGCTCGATCCATCCTTGATCAAATAACCGCAGTAAAAGCAAGAATGAGAGGGGGGGAAAGAGAGAGGCATTATGTTGGTTGGAAATTACCAGAATGCAGTAAGAATCTATACAAACTTTTCTATCTGCAAAACCGTCTTCATTTCTGCACCAGCTGGGTCGACATCGCGCACCGTTAACCAGAAGTTAAAAAACAGTCAGGTCAGTCCAACATCTACTTTGATTCACTTGGTAGTTCCTTAAAAACAGTTCAAATCAGAAATAATCATATGCATTCTTGCTGCCTATCTGCTCACTGCAAAACAAACAAACAAAGAAGAGCACAATAACGAAAGAGATTGTCTCTTACACCAATCCTCAGCTAATTAACCATTAACTATCACGCCCGACAGTTGTGAAGGAACAGTAAAGATTGTCTCAAGCAAGGGAATGGAAGCTCCATTAAGTAAGAAAGTATAGAGGACACATAGACTTGCAATGACATCAGAAAGAACAATATTGCAGTAGAGACAACAAAAACGTTGTGATCTAAATCTCCATTTGCTCCGGAAGAAATCCAGTCTGTAATCCATGTCAGAATATGCAACAAATTATACAAGCACAAATATAAATCATCATAATTGTCAACGATTCAACATCTCCACCGCATTACAGTATGCACATTTTGTGCATTACATAAACCAAAACAAATTCATTAACTACTACAAGTTATATTGAAACTTGAATTTCTAAGTCACGCACATACCCTTTCATGTTAAGAACATTCACATCAAGTTCAACCCCTAACGAGATGTGGAACAATCTTGAATGAAGCACAGCATGAATGGCCGCACATGATACTGAAAAATAAAACAGCACTAAGGGCTTTTTCTGAAAAGAAATTGACTGTAACTGACATCCCTACCCGATACTTGGGAACCAGGGCAGACGATGTGAAAGTTACACGAAGGATATAATTGTAGGACATGCCAAGGAAACCAATGAACTGAAATAGACTTGAAGAAGTGAAAACCAGAACTTGGGATCCAGTGCATACTATATAATTTATCATATGCACCAGAACTAGAGTCGAAAAAGTAAAACCCAGAATTTGTTGTGTATGATTAATCTAAATTGCAGGATACGGTTGTCAAAGTGTTTTCCATCAGTAAAGATTACTACAACCATTCCTGCAGCAGTCCCATTGGCAAAGAAACACTCTTACAATTAACTATATGCACCAAACAATTAGCCTTATGGGACATAGCACAGCATGCTCTTGAGCTACAAACACGTTAAACCAATACGGGATGTTATTTAGTTTAGCATCAGCACATCAACAAAAATGGTTCAACAAGATTTAAACTTCACTGATCGATGCACAGATAGCTCTACATTCTGAACTACTTTTGCTATGGCGACTACTGCAAAAATTACCTATAGTTTGAGTGAACACTACTAACCAAAGCATTAACCAAAAACAGAGGCAGAGAGAAACCAAGAGGCAACCACCACATTACACAAGCCAGCCACCACAATGAGCTAAAACTCAGCAACTCCAGTTCCCTCAGACGTTCGACGCTGCTGTTTCCCTCTCCATCTTCTGCCCAAAAAGCTTTGTCGCAAACATATTGTCATCGAAATACTCTTTATAAGGGTGGTTCTTTGGAACAAGCTTCCTGAACTTTTCAAACTGTTTCTCAGCCTCATTAGTCTTCCTCAACATTGTATAAATTATTCCTTGACACAGATAAGGCCTGAAGTCTCTTGGTTCTTCCCTCACAAGCTCTTGATAAAGCTTCAAAGCATCCGAATACTTCGACTCCATCACGCGAATTTGCGCAACTAACAGCTTAAAATCCCTCACATCCGACATATTCCCATCCTTCTTACACTTCACCATTGCCTCCTCCACCCTCTTCATCACACTCTTCAATTTCTCAGGTGATTGCGAAGCGGACATTACAAGGCCATGAAAGGCCTCAACTTTGAAAGGGTTTTTCGACAAAATGTCCTCAAACTCGGAGTTAGCGAGATCTACCTCACCCATGTAGCTATGAACATTGGCCTTCAGCAATTGCCACTCAAAGTCTTCGGGTTCCAGCTCGATCAAGCGCTCCAGCACCTGAATCGCTTCGGCCAGCTTGTTGGATTTGATCCTGACCTCCATTAAATTCCTCAGAGCTTCGACATCGTCTGGGTTCTGTGACAATTGCTCTTCAAGTACCCTTTCTTTCTCTTCATACGAAACGCTGTCAGCGGGAGATTCTTGTTCCACTGGCTCCACCGTGGAAGGTGCGACTGCGGTGGCGGCCATAGCGGTTCGGTGATTGAACCTCATGAAGAAGAATGCGGCGGCAGCAATGGCGGCGCAGGTCGCCTTGATGATAGGGGCGGCGAGAGGGGCCAGGGTTTTGAAAGAGGAAGTGGGTTTAGGGTTTGGGGGGTTTTGGTGAGGTGGGTGGGCGGAGGACGGTGGCGGAAGCGATGAGGATGAGGCTCTGATAGTGAGGGTGGTGAAGTTGAAGGTCGGCGATTGGCACAGAGGTCTGAAGGAAGAAAGGGGTTTTGGGAACGAGGAACAGTGGGGATTGAGCGAGAGGGTGAGGGGTTGGTGGCGGAGGTGAAGTTTGGCGAGAGACTCCATGGATTGAGAGAGAATTAGGGTTTTGTAAAACCCTGCAATGGAGGTGAGAGAAGTCGAAGAAGATGGAGGAGGAGGAAGAGAAATAGGTAACAGGGGAAAGTTCAAAAAGCTGCGAGAAAATGCCGTTTGGGCATGTTGGTCCAACAGAACAAAATTAGTCGGCAGGGAGGTGAGAAACGGTGTCGTAGGGGTCGTGGGATTGAGCTTTCAGATGGGCCTTTTATTGGGCTGGAATTTCAAAAACTTGGTATTGGGTTAAGCTTTTGTTTTTCTTTTGTTTTTGGGTTTTGAAGTGGGTTCATTAGAAACTAGCATGAGCTTTCTCTATTTTGATGTGGGCTTATTATTTTGAATAAACGATATTATTTATATATCAAAATAAGAAAGTTTACTTAGTTTTATAATGAGTTAGTAATAATGTGCTTCATATTTACCTTTGGCGTGAATCGAATTTAAGACTTCTTACTTACAAATAAAGAGGAAATCACTAGATCATAGTATTAAGTGGCGAATGTGGGCTTATTATTAGGTTTTCCTAATGCATCAAAATGGCTTGTATGGAAATATTTCTAAAATGACTGAAAGCACAATTAGAGAAAATATTTTTAGATACCAAAAGCATTTAAAATGTTTCCTGCAAGAAGCATCAGTTATGTACTTTTTATAGAAAACACGTCAAGTGTATTTTCAAAATTCACTTGCATTTTATTAAGGATTGGTTCTAAAAACTGATGCAGCACGAAGCAATGAAAGGGTTACCAGCGTAATCCCTTGTAGAACAAAGTTACTGGAGTCCACCGGTTGATAGAAATCCCAAAGGATAATTTGATTAATTGATTGAAAGATGTCTAAATGATTACAAAGCCATGGCTTAAATAAGCCTTTTACAATCTTTTGGGAAACTCAAAAGACGTAGGGAATTAAAATGAAAATAACTAACATATAATAAAGCCCTTGAAACCCCAAAAGACTACATTTATTAGTAGGCTGTTGTCTTCATAACTTTCTGCAAAAGATGGCTCAAGCCACTTTTGTGGGAGAATTAAACACCTCTTCTACGACCGCACCAGAAATGAAAGTAGCGTTCATTCAACAAGAAAGGTTCAAAACATCAACTTTCGAGATATGACCGTAGCAAATTATCTATTAACACGTGAATTACCAATTATCCAATCACTTTTCTTTATTGCTCGCCGCTTCCTTCTTTTAGTTTTGTTGCACGTGAAATAATCGGATTTCTGTCCTACATCAGATTGCTCCACTTGAAAGGAACTCGACCTCGAGTTCGTCTTGAAACGGTCTTGATAGCTAGTAGATAACTCCCTTGTTAAGAAAATAAGTTCTTCAACTTGAGAAGCCCAACTTTCCGTATACTTGGGTGGAATAATCATGAAATTAATTCCATAAATAAGATCGAAATATGGCAATTGGGAATCAAAATATTCTTCCTTACCCAATTCTCTTGTTTGGTCAACAATAGAATTTAGATCCAATTTACTAGACTCATGATTCTCCAAAGTCATGACAGATTTTGATTCACTCATACCTTGAATTTCTTGAGCCTCCACTTCTGAGTTGTCATGTTTCCGGAGATCTTCATCAACAAGATTTTCACCAAGGAAAATTACTTGTTCTTTTTCTTCCACCTCGGCCTCCACCGTTTCTTGGCATAATGATATATCATTCTCCATCACTTTAGCTTCTTTTCTAATGATTGGTTGACTCGTCTTTTCCAAATACAATTCGTATAAATCGGAAAAGAATTGCTTAACAATTAGTCGCTTCAACCAACGCCAAGTTTGGATAGGACACTTACCTTGTTGTCGCCTAGATTCTTGCATATGATCACACCATAAACCCACGTCACCATCTAAACAAGAAGCAACCATCTTCACCATCTCTCATTCCGGAATTGGTTGTGTCTTGAAAAGTTTTTCTACATCCTCAACCCACAAGAGAAAACCTTCAATGCAATCACTTCCGAAGAAAATAGGAATATCTTCAACATCAACTATATGAGATTGGCTCGAGGCAATTCCCTTTGTGCACACCACATCTATTGTAACAACCTCGCGATCAACGTCACTTAAGGTATATCTTTTCCCACGATCGATTGCCATTAGAACATAGCAAATAGGATAATCAACAATGCCAAGACGGGAGAAACCCGCTCTGGTACCAATTGATGCAGCACGAAGCAATGAAAGGGTTACCAGCGTAATCCCTTGTAGAACAAAGTTACTGGAGTCCACCAGTTGATAGAAATCCCAAAGGATAATTTGATTAATTGATTGAAAGATGTCTAAATGATAACAAAGCCATGGCTTAAATAAACCTTTTACAACCTTTTGGGAAACTCAAAAGACGTAGGGAATTAAAATGAAAATAACTAATATATAATAAAGCCCTTGAAACCCCAAAAGACTCCATTTATTAGTAGGCTGATGTCTTCATGACTTTCTGCAAAAGATGGCTCAAGCCACTTTTGTGGGAGACTTAAACACCTCTTCTACGACCGCACCAGAAATGAAAGTAGTGTTCATTCAACAAGAAAGGTTCAAAACATCAACTTTCGAGATATGACCGTAGCAAATAATCTATTAACACGTGAATTACCAATTATCCAATCACTTTTCTTTATTGCTCGCCGCTTCCTTCTTTTAGTTTTGTTGCACGTGAAATAATCGGATTTCTGTCCTACATCAAAAACAAACTCACTAAATGAGCTTTCTGCCATTTTAAAGTTTTTTTAAACAAGCCCAAATTGTGGATGTGAAAGTAAACTCTTTTTTTTTTTTTGTTTTTTTGCAACGAAACTAAAGTTCGAGTCCCATTGTAAAACCAAAAAAGCAGTAGCCTAATTTGCTAGAGCGGATGTGTTTTCAGTCATCACAACCTCCAAGCCACCACCACGACCCAGACGCCTTCAAGACACCCACCACCACAAATCAACCATAAGGACTACCACCATACCAGACCGACTCGAAACCGACCAACTTTTTTGGTTTGAACCGAATATAGGTAAACCAACCAATTCAATTCAGTATCTGTTTTGTTTTAAAGCCATATCAACCAATTCAATTCAGTATCTGTTTTGTTTTAAAGCCATATCAATACACTTTAGTCAATTATCGGTGGGGGATATCAACTCGTTTACCAAACTGAACCCACCCCAAGATTTCATTAGAAAAAAGAAAGACTATCTTCAAAGGTAATGTCAAGTAGATGAAACTTTTAAACTAAATTTGCAAATCAAATTATGTGTCATAAATAGGAAAGAAACTCGTTAATCAACACTTAAAGTAATAATTCAATTATCAACAACCACATTATTTGATTTACAAAATTTGATCTCCTTAATATTATTCGTTTTCATATCATCTGGATCGATACTTTTTATACATTTGACTGGATCCCTAACCCAATACTAATTAATTATAATATTGTGGACAAAAATCAAACATAAATTCATAGCCGTGCAGCTATGGAAAGATTCTAGTAGAATTAAAACGTCGATGTCACTCGGTCCTCCGCCGAACTCAAACGAAAAAGTAGGGTAACGACGAATTCAAATGACCCACACCCAAAATTATTGGAGAAAACAAACAAACACATCCATGCTATTAATACATATTCACACAAGAAAGAAAACGAAATAGCCCAATAACCAAAGCTGACTGAACAATAAATTTGGAGATTCGTGATTGATCAGGTAGTTAGGGCATTGCTCGTGAATTCATTGCATTGTGAGTGTAAACTTTTTTTCTGTCTCTTTAGCGTAGAATATCTCGTGAAATAAAAATGCGAAAAAAAAATGAGAAGTTATTTATGTACAATGTTTTATATTTTAGATGAAATAATTTGAATGAGAATTAAGCTTAGAAAGGAGGAAAAAAGAATTTGCAGAACTCATTGCTTTAGGTTTTTGATAGGAGGGTGCTGTGGGGTGATGCTTGCTTCTTTGGCAGCGTCTTATTGTTCCTAACCCCAGCACTGCCCTCTCATGTGTATGTTACTTTGTTGCCCCTATCGTGGACTTCCCTTGTACGTTTGGCTTTCGTCCTGGAATTATATGTTTCCAGTTCTCAAACAAAAAAAAAAAAAAAAAAAAAAAACTCATTGCTTTAGAATTTAATATGTACACATCAGTCCCGTCTGGAAATTTTTCACAAATGGGACTCATCGCGCTCTGCCATGTGTGCACGTAAGCTAACCCCAGCCACCCACGCACTCTCAAGGGTTTACAAATTACAATTCCCAACTACTATTGATGACTGCTACACGATACGTCGTATGTGCCGTCCGTATTTGCCCTTGTGTTGTGCTGGACAACTTGTTATTTTGCCTGTCGTTTTAAGCCACTTTTTTCCCTGATGTTACAGATTAATTAAGAGCAATTGAAGCCAAAAAGGCCATCTCTTATCGATCGTTTTCTGCATAAGAAACAAAGGGATCTACTACTGATCAGATTCATCGCCGCCGTCATCGGTGGTGGTGGAGTTGTCGCCCCTCTGAGAATCAAAAAGCATCTTCTGGCTTCTTTGCTCTGTGACCATCTCAGAGGATCTAGCTTCCCTGCTCTTGTTGTAGGCCTCAAAGAACTCCTTGTTCTCCTTCTCTAACTCCTTCCACACTGCAGTTGATCAGTTAATCCATTAATTAGCTAACCATTCAATCCCATGCAAGGACAATTGTAACATAATATATATATATATATATATATATAGAGACAGAGAGAGAGAGAGAGAGAGAGAGAGAGAGAGAGAGAGAGAGACCTGTGGAGGTAATGATGGGTTTTATGTTTGCACGCTTAGAGAGGGCTTCCATGCACTCCTCTTTGCTCATATAAAATATGATGCACTCCTCGATTAAATGGTGCACCTAATTATATAATCATGCATGTCACCATGCCACCATTAATTTTCTTCCCCACAAGATATCGAAAAATAAAACACCGCAAAAAAAATCATTATGTACTCTTCGTGTATTTGGGAGAAAACTAAATTTTGAGAATTGCTTGTGACATTTTAGAGTGATAATAATAGCTATCAGATAATATCATTACATATTCTATATATCGAATCAAAGGTATATATCATCTTGGTGATCAAGACAAAGTAGAAAAAAAATTCATAAAAATTACAACAAGGCTTACCAAGTGAATGTATGAAGCAGAAGAGTCTCCCATGTTTATATATAAATAGCTAAAGTTCTTGCTACCCCAGCTGCAGAAGTCTTGCAGAACAACGAAGAATTTGAAAGGAGAACTGAAAAGAAGAAGGGGGAGAGTGGGAGATTTCGAGAGGCAAGAGGCAGCTGCTGGATGATCATAAAAAGTGAACAACTGATCGGTTAAAGTTAAAGAAAAATCATGAGGGTGGATCGTATAAATAAACAAATAAAAAGCGCAGGTGAGTTCTTCGGTGATGTCATATGGGAATTGGGTGTGGGGGCTCCAATGCCCACGTGGGAGGACGACGATGATTGGTGGAGAGGGGATTAGAGGAGATTCCACACGCAGCCCTTTGCTTGTCTCTTCTACGTGGCCAATGACCTACTGTCCACGTGACAAGTGGGGTCCCCCTGCCTGCACACATGTTAGTTTGTTACATAGGAAAACTAATGAAAAAGGCTTGAAAACTTTGAGTTTTAATGATAAGGACAAAATAAAGGGTAAAGTGAATAGTACCAGGATTGACTTTTTAGTGTAAAAATATGGTTTTTCGTTAAAGTGAACAGTACCGGGTGCTTTTCGTTAAAGTTCCCTTGTTACATACCTAAACCTTATACCATCGCACCTTGCGCTCCCCACGCTCATTCAGCAGGCAATCCACGCACCGGTTTCGACCTACAACCTTAACCCATACACTGTACCTCCTCCTCTCCAAGTTACCTTAGCACTTCAAGGTTCAACTTGTTCAAGCAAAGATTTCTCTGGATAAGATCTCTAGACCTCAGCACAGCTCCTCAAGGGAATGACATTTTGGATGTGTATGTTTGGTAGTCGAGCCCTTGCTTGTCTTGTGTGCTACAATAAGAGCTTGAAATTAGTTTTGAAATGTGCCTTTGTAGGACCTTAGGTATAGGCCTTGAGGTACGCAATCAAAACTAACTAAATGCTTAAGCGTGTCACTGCTATCTCATAATAGCAGATGCAGAACCATTGTGTTATGAGTCGATTACTTGCGTCCCAAGTTACTCAAACTTCTTATTATTAAAGGATTGTCACAGATGAGTTAAATATGTATTAAATTCTTTTCTTGCCTTATAAACAAGGACTTTTAGTTCATGGTCTCGTATCTTCGAATGGAGGGAGTCCATAGCCATTTTAAGTCATTTGTTTGGTACCAAATTGCTCTTTAATGAAAACATATCCATTAAGTTAACCAAATCCAGATGCAAATGAGACTCTTAAAATAGAAAAACAGGTAGAAATGACTTGAATACATGCTGAAAAGTGTATTAAATGATAGATCTACTAATTTAAAGGACAAACAAAGAGACTCGAGCAAGATTTCACCTTGTCTGACAAGGTCGAACCTCTTACAGCCACTTCTCTTTGGTTTTACAGAGGTTGTATGCTAAAAAGAGATAGTTGGTAAACAGGTTTACATGAGAGAATCAATACTACATCATTGTGAATGGTAGCAGAGCTTTTATACTAGAGAAAAAAAATAGTATTTCTAAGGAAACTATAGCTAAAATGACTGAATCTTAGTTGATTTCAGCTTGAATAGTACGAACTGGCTTGAGAGCAGAGTTTGTAAGTTTGTAAGTTTGAGTGTTTTTGTCTCTGTTTTTTCTTCTTCCTTTTATAAGCGATTTGGCTCGAGAGTCAGGACATTGCTTTTGCCCGAAAGCTCTTGGAGGGTAGTGAGTCATCAGCTTTTTACTTGTAATGCCACTGGAAAGTGTTTTTTGGCTGATAGTAGGTTAGTCTCCATCACTTGTCACTTCAGTCATAGACATGTGGCTTGTGTCTTGGCTGAGAAGGTTTTAGTTTGCTTTTGGACTCGATGTTGGGCTTCGGGCAAGTCATCCTTTAACTTGGCATCCTTGGGCTTCCCTTCATCTAAGCACAATATTCATATATTAACCCAAACAGTGCCCCCTTTAATCGTTATTGAGTCTGCAAATTGAGGCGTTAATGATGATTAAACAACCGTCGCATGCCATTTAAAATAGCCATTTGTTAACTAAACCTTTACACTAACCCATGATTTCCAACGTTAACTAACTGCCTACTATAAAACCTCCACTTAAATTCTCAGCCAAATTACCTTAGTAATCCTAATCCTTTGAATTTCCAGAATCCCCAAATTTCTCAGAATTCTTAGTCTCTAGTTCTTGCCCTTTATTCCCAATTTTCTTCTCATTTCTTTCCTAACTTGATGGCACCCAAAGCTGCTCAAAATCAATCTTCGTACGAGACTGGTGAGGGGATTGCCACCATGCGTCGCTTGCTCAACAGCCTTCATCGCCATCGGGCTGGCCTGAATACTTCTCTTTTCTTTGAGGAAGGGGAATGCACTCCCTAGGGCCTGCATGGACCTCTTAGGTTCCAATTTCTGTAGAAAACAATATGCCCAAGGCTAACTAGTTCACTCCAATTGACACAATGGGTGAATGAAATCGAGCCGATTTTCAAGAAGAAATGGATGAACAATGGCATCTATGAGCTGATAATGCTCTCAAAGGTCACGGTAGTTGCCAAGTCCGAGCTCCTGACCACAACCCTTCTTTTCTAGAATTCAGGGACCAACACTTTTGATTTTAGGATGGGTTCCATGTCCCCAACCACCCTCGACATGGCTTAAGTCTTCGGGCAGGGTCGTGGACGTTACCCACGACTGGTCCTTCCCCTCACGCGATTGCTGAAGGCTATGGCAATTCTGACTCCATCGTTCAATTGGAGTATAATTCTTCAACCTTCAAGAGATATGTGACCTCCTTTACGGCTTTATCCGATTTGCTAAGAAGAGCTTTGGCCCGACTTCCTCTTCTGCCAATAGAGATTTTGAGCACATGTATTTTCTCCTGTACTGGCTCAACAACCATATATTCCCTAACAAGTCCAAGGGAGTAAAATTGGAGTGGGTTCCCTTGGTGGAGGCCCTCCATTCTTTTAATGACGTGGCCACGAGCCCCTTCCTTCTTGCCCATCTCTACCACCTTCTGTACGAGATGACCAGAGGCGAGCCCTTTAAGACCAATCTCAACGGGCCGACCTGGATGATACAACTATGGCTCCAGTGGTACTTCCCTAAGCTTCACCTAACCTAGAATTCCCCGAAGGCGTGGCTCTTGCTCGCATCTTAGCTAAAGCTTCTCCCACCAATCATTCCACATTCTCTTGTTGGTATTTATTCAGAGTCTGCCGAACTCAGGCAGATTTGGAGTGGGGAGCCTCAGTACTTAGGAGGTATCCCTAGTTTTCCGACCAAGCCTTCCAAGATGCCTTCGGGGATGACGCTAGCTAATTTTGCAAGGAGAAATTCATCAGCTGCATCCATCCAAGGGATCTGGCATAGGGAGTCTGTAACGATCGTTATGAATGCGGGTTGTAGGTTTACCACCCCAACTTCTACGCTAGATAATTGGGGTTTAGACATGACATCCCAATGCCCTTCTTCGATTCTATTCATTGTGACACCTCCTACCGCCTTTGCTCACCCTCAGAAATTACATTTTGTGTAGCTCGACGTAGTCTTGAAATCATGAGCAAGATTGCCTGAAAGCCTGTGGCATTAAGCTTTAAATGTACTTCAACCTTCTCCACTTGGTAGGAGACCAAGTGGACCAAAAAGTATGGAAGGGGTCTTAGGGAGTCTCACGACCTTCTCTTCTGGCAACTCAGCATTAAGTCATATCCCAAGCTGAACGAGCTTGAAAGCTGGAATGAGGTGGTCCACCAAAAGAACCAGCTTCTTTTAATAGGTATCTTTTATTTTCTTGACTTGTATTTTATGATTTTTTATGAATCTGCTTTCTTATAATCCTTTCCTTGGTTACTTTAAACTTGCAGCCCAAGGTAACATCGGAAATGTGGATGTTGGGTTAGATGAAAAAGCTGCAGACGCACTTGTGCTTGAGGAAGCTGTAGCCGAAGCCACGAGACAGGGAGATGGGTCTAGCCATATTGCTGGCGATGCTAAAGACCTCTCAAAGTTGTTTGGAGATTATGAAGGTGAAGCTGAACCTATAGTCGAGACTCGGGCAACATGTTGGACAAGGGCCACAGCGGTGGAATCTTCAAAGTCCGAGCCCGAGGATCGATCTCAACCTCAGCTGTCTATACCAGGTTCGCGGACAACCCTTACGAAGAAGAGAACCAAAGCCCAAACTTCTAGAGCACCCAAATCTTCCAAGTCATCCACTGCTCCTCCAGTTGAAGCGGGCCGGAAGAAACAGAAGTCATCTAGTAAGTTAACTCTATTCTACTCTTTTTTAACAGCAATCTTTACTCAATGAGCTAATAACTTCTTTTTCCTCATAACTAGGGCCTCAAGCAACCAAGAAGCTTACTTTTGTCTCAATGGAGGAACTGTTGGGCGCGGAAATGCATCAGATGGACAATAAGCTTCTTGATTCTATCTTTGAGGAGCTACAAGTATGGCCTGCATCCTAAGTCACCCTTTTTAAGTTTACCCATTCTTTTTCTTTTGCATTAATCTTTTGCCCGATCGCTTGAAACAGGACACCAGGGAAGAAATGATCTTTCAGCCCGAGGTTTCTTCTCCTCCAGCCTGAACAATACACACTTCCCTTCCTCAGGCTAAATCTTCAAACGTATATTTCTTTCTTATTTTTGGCTTTAAGCTTGTAACTTTACCATTTCTTTTATTATTTAATGATTGAGTTCCATTCTTCTATAGACCAAGGTTGGGGAACCTGTGCCTTCAATAGGGCAAAGCTTAACCCTCATTTCTTCTACTCCCCTACCTGCATTGGTGGTGACTCCAACCTCCCAGTTCGATCCAAGGACTGGGGAGATGCTACACTTTATAGAGGACGACAGTAACTCGGTGAGTATTCTTAGTTTGAACCTTCCTGTCTTTAAGCTTTCTTCTTTACTTATATTTACGCTCTTCTTGATAATAGCCTCCAATACAAATAAGCCCAACACACATCATATCTTCTTGAGCTCTCCTCAAGATTCTGTACTTTCCAAGATGAGGGTTTTGTGGCACATGATCCCCCTTTCCCTCAGTCTTGCTATTGGCTCTTTCTACCTCTTTTTTGCTTTTTCATTGAAGTTGATTTCTTCCCCCAAGAGGCACTTTTTCAAACTTCACATTTTCAGAGGTTTCTGATGTATCAAAGACTTTTAGTGATTTC